GCACCATCCGTCCGTATGAAAGGGTTCTTGACAAATAGCGCATACAGCCCCTTCGAGCGATGTCTTTGGAGATGAAAACCCAAACTCATCCGCCATACCCATAGCGTCAGAGATGATTTTGAATGCTTCTCCCTTCCTGCCTCTTCGCGAGTCTCTATACCGTTCAGCCCGCAAACGCTTGACCAGCAGTGGAAATCGTTGACGTGTCTCATCGCAAGTGTCTGGATCAGCTTCTGGCAAGCATCTTAGTGCATCAGCAGCCTCCAAACGCACGTCGTCATCACTGTCGTCAAGAGCTGTGCAGACCAACATCTCAAAAAGAGAGGCTCGACCTCGACCCTCTGCCTCGGCACAGAGGCCCAAAGACCCAAGGAGCTCCTGAGCGCCGCCACTCGCGATCGCACCCAGAGTTGCGCAAGCGCTCTTTCGAATCTTAGGCCGACCATCTTTCAAGCTCCTCAGCAGTGGATCGATGACACTGGCAACCGCAAGGCCCTCTCCTGCGATGGCAATGGCACTGAGCGCATCCAAGGGTGCAGCCAGGGGAACACCATTTGCCTGAGTTGCCTCGAAGCAGTGCATTATGCTCTTAACATCTGGTGCGATCATGCCAGCAGCACCTTCTTCTGCCAGGACACGGTACAACGCAGAGACTTTTCTTTGGACAAGGATGTCCTGGTCTTCCAAACAGGGAAGCAACGCGTTTGAGTGCAGAGCCACCGAGACGGCGTGGCCTTTTTCGGCAATGGAGCGCAATGCTCCAAGGACGGCCAACTTCACCGGTCCAGGTTGGGCAGGCTTCAACCCACACATCACAGGCTGCAAGTTGCTCGCCATTACCACAGCGAAAGAATCACCTTTTGACATTTGCGCCAATGACTCGGCCGCTTTTTGCCGGACGTCCAAGTCTGTTGCAGCCAACTCTGTGCACAAGCGATTGAGGCAAAGGTTGTGTCTGCAGTCTCTGCTGTCCTTGCCCTCTTTGCGAAGCCATCTGCTGGGCAATCCTCTGGCCACACTCCCGGCCAACGCTGGCACCACGGCACTCAGCTCCATCGAAGGTGACATTGGCACGGCCCTCAACTTGCCTCGTGGTCTCAAGCCGAAGAGTTGAAATGC